TCTTTCCCTCTTCTTGTCTTGGAGAACTAACATTTACTCCAATACATGAATTCATGCTGACCTTTTTCTTCCTTCTAGCACTGGTGAAATGACTACTGAGGTTTTTGGGGCCATTTGGCACATTCGTTGTACCCACTGCCCAAGGTTTCCAAATGAGTTGAAGACATAAGCAACCACCATATGTGCCGACAGAATTTCCTCACACCCTTTCTGAAACCACAAACTTATCATGCTATCGCTGGGGTTTCAGGAAGGATGCCTGATCTGGGAATCATGCTGGGGAATGACAGGGCAGTTAAACATCATTTTTAGAGGTGACGGGAATGATCAACCATGAGGAAGAGAGGAGTTCTCTGCCATGGCACCCACGGCAGTAGCCTCTGGAAAAGCGTATTTGTAATATGGAAAACTACTGATACATTTTTAATGGAGAAATACACCTTTATAACCTTACAAGTAAAATACTTATGGAAATGAACACACTGTGGACATTTCATCACCTCAGATTTACAAATCCAGCAAATTTAATACAGGTTTTCCTTTTTTTCAGAAAGCAGAGGCCATCAGCCTCAAACTGTGGTTAACTCAACAGGGTTTCTTCCTTTAAAAAAAAACATATTCTCAAGGATGACAGGCAAATCAATCACATAACACATCTTCAAATGCTGTTTGAACAGCATTTGCGAACAATAAATGACTACATCATCCCAACTACTGACTTTTTAAAGCACACAAGAAAAGGCAGACAAAGGGAGAGGGCTCAGCTTGTGTCAAGCAGCTCCTTATTTCACACAATGCCAGACAAAGCAGCAGAATCAAGCTTCCTATATTTAACCACTGACCCTCCTATGAGCAGCACTCAGATGACTTGACATAGAGGGCCAGCGCAGTCTGGAGACAAAACCTAGGACCCAACTAAGCCCAGGGTCTTAAGGCTCTGGATAACACCAGCTTCTTAACAAACACTGCTTTCATTCTGCATCATCTTCAAAAACAGGCAAAAAGACTGCTTTTATGCTACCCTGAACAACTCAAAGTAACTTCTCCCTAGTATTTTTTCTACTTTTTTTATGAAAAAACACTAGTGGTCCCTGTGACACAGAGATTTCTTGATCTAAGGCATCCTTCACTATTTTCTCCAGTAATTATGGGAGATGTTTATTTGTCTTTAATTTTTTTCCTTAGAAAGATCTATCTCATTCAAGAGCAACACAGACATTTCTTCTCTATCTCCCCCTACCTTGTACCTTTTTTTAGCCATTTATGTGGTAGCTGACTTAATTTTGAATAAACACCAGAGTTACTTTCAAGACTGGCGTAAATCTAAGTTGCTTGCTGTATCTGCTTAGTATCATCAAAAATAAGGACCAGTTTAAATTATTTGGTGGGATTTCTGCTGAAACAATGCAACTAAGTGCTTTAATAAAAACCCAACCAAACAAAACAACTCTTCTTTCCAAAGCAGACCTATTCATTCCTCTTTCAGTCAGTACCTAGGACATTAACGTCACCACTGATTCATCCAGGAAGAAAGTCTATTGTGCAACCGTGAAGACTCCTGTGTTGGCCAAAGTAGCTGAGGAGCTTCCCAGAGAACTAGAGTCAGAATTCCTAGTGCTGCATTTAGCAACAGTGAAAATGGGAACTGTTTATCACAGAGAAGAGGAAGGCATACATGCACACGTTAACAAACCTGCCCCCTGGTTTAGAAACACCTGCCAGCTTTCTCTGCTCTCCTTTCAGGAAGAAAACTATGTATTGCGCTATTACAGCCTTTCATATTTTCTATGAACCAACAGTTATTTTATAAGTATCTTCCTCCTAATGCAAACCAAGATGTATAGTCACAGATGGTTTTAAAACCATTTTCTGCACATCAAAAATCTCCTACTTTCAAAGCAGTCAAAAGCCTTAATGGGTGCTACTGTTGCATGCTCTTCTTTACATACATACTTTCTAATCTCTTGCATGAAGCAGACATGCACCACTGAAACAAAGACAACTACATGAACAGCACACACACCAATTTCAGAAGCGTAACTTTCTATTTGCAATAGGATATAGAAACAATAAGAATACTGGGCCAAATCACTCCTTCCTGTGGGAAAAACCCATGGCAGAGTGCCTTTAGGCAGGAACATACTGAGAGATTTCCCCTG